AAAGATCGAACTATCCCTGCCACTGAGAAAATCGTCAAAGTTATCGCCCTGACTGGAGCCAAGCTCCTTCAGCAGCTTCTTGGGCGGATTCTTAAGCTCTTGGAAGAAATATTTCTTATCGACATAGGGCCGTGTGCGCCCAATGCCCAGCGGATCCAGATCTGTGAACGCATCTGGCGAGCCACACAATTTCAACAGAAGCAGAGCGAGACAGAGATAGAGAAATGGAGAGAGAGAGAGAGAGAGAAAGATTGGGAGACTTGCATCAGTCACTGTTGGCAGAGACTCCAAGTAAAAGGCGTGCAATTGGTGTCAGAGAACTCAAGAGAAAAATGCAACTGAAGAGCTTTAAATCAAGACTAACTACAAATTGAATGCACAAAAACAACAACAGAAACAACAAAAGGAGCATTGTCTTATGGGTTAGTATTACTCATTTATTTATTATTAAATCTCAATTTTAACAGAGCTGCGCAGCCACGTTGGATGGAAGGATCTAAGGGACTTGGGAAGCTAAGCTAATTAATAGTTTACAGCTATTGTCCCCTGCAGGCTGCAGTTCCTGTCAAGTTTAACACTCAACAGTTTAACATGGCTCTATAACTACATTGGAATGTTATGTTATCTTAAATTTTAATATGTATTGGAAAATAACGTTCTGTTTTAACAGAGACTAGAAAATGTAAATGATCTGCTGCCGCTGTTAACTGAATAAAATTTGAAAGCGCTTGTAAATGAATTAACAGCGGGCAATTTTGATTCGTTTGCTAAATGAATTTTCTTTCTTTTCTTTCTGTTTTCTTTTATTGCTTTCAATGGATGCCAGTTTACAGCCCCGCCCAGCGCCAGCCACGCCTTAAACTGATATCTGTTCGCTGTTTAAGCTAGTGTAGTATTTCGCTATTTCGCTGAACGCAGCCAATTGACTGCGGCTCATTGAGCTCATCTGCTCGAGTCTCAGTTGACAATTGTCGCGGCTGTAAGCCCTGACCTGTAACCCCTCGACCCTCGCCCCTTGCATCCATTGTGAATGGCAGCTCTCTTATGGCAATCATTTTTCTTAACGAACTTCGATTTTGTAAGCAACTCACCCGACATGACCGCTGCAGCTGTAGCTCCCGCTCCCGCTCCTCCTCCTCCTCCTCCTGCCGCTGACGACGTCGTCCCATTGGCTGCGCTCTCCGTCTCTGTTAAACTGCTCAACGCACTCAGCCCCACATCGATGGCTGCTGCTGTCGTAGCTGTGGCAGTTACTCCTGCTGCCGTTGCGGACGCTGCTGAGATGTCGCTGCTCTGCTGCGTGGGCGTGGCTGAGGATTCCCTGGCTGCCAACGGCGCCATTGGCATGCTTCCGAGCACGGCGGCAGCTGACATGGGCGTAGGCGTGGCGGACACCTTGGTGGTATCGAAGACATCGTTCTGCTGCTGCAGCTCATGCAGCCAACTATCATCATCATCCGCCGTCTGCAACGTGGCCGGTGAGCCGCTCGCACCAGGCGCTGGCGATAGCAGCGTATCCAGAGCAGCGCTCTCTGCCGTCTTGTTGGGCTGTTGCTGCTGCTGCTGCTGCTGCTGCTTGTGTCGAGTGCGTCCGGACTCGGGTGGCGGCGGCAAGATGTTGTACGAGGGCACATAGATGAAGGAGTCGCCAAACGGATCATCCTCACTGGCTGACTTGGCCAGGCCATGGCCGGATTGAGTTGTGCCCGGCTCATTGGGCGTAATGCGCTCCATCTGGCTAATGCCACGCTGCAACGAGGTCAGCTCCTGCTCCAGATCAACCAGGTCTGCCACAGATTCCGGTGAGATCTACAAAGCGAGCAAAGGTTAGTAATGGTGGAAGAGAAATGCAGACTCAACTGTCGCTTACCTCCTTGGCTGCTCCGCTCTTGCTCACATCCAGATTGACCCCCAGCCTTGTTAGGCCAACGCCATTCGAGGAGTTCCCGCCGAGCATGCTCAGATTAGCTGCATGCGCTGCGGCAGAGGAGCTGCTGCCGGAGGCGAGTTCGTTGTGGCTCGCTTTCAGCGAGGACAGGGAGGCCAGTTGGGTGGCATGATCGTGCATGGTCTTGCCCTGGATCTGCTGGCGTGCCATTTCGATCTCTTTCTTTTTCAGCTCGAAGACGACCTGGAAGAGATCGCGCATGGCCAGCACCACCTGGCTGGCCGCCTTGTCCGTCTTGATGCCAAAGAATCGATGTCCGCTATCCGGCGAACCAAATATGTAGCCAAACGCACGCGAATCCGTCATGTCCTGTGCTATGAACGAGATCTTATGCACGGGATGATGGTAAAGCGAATCGCTGGTCTTCTCATCGCGCAACCTGAGACCATCGATGGTCACATGGATGATGATGCGCTGCTTGTGCTCGCCGGCAGCGCGTATGGCCATCTTCAGGTCCTGCAACGCCTCCTGGCACATGCGATCGCCACGCGCCTCGCCCACTTCCAAGATGCCAATCAGCTTGGCCTTGAACTGGACGCCATCGCCAAAGAAACGGCCGGGATCATTCCGATCTGCAAAATGCAAATTTATACATGAGTATACACATGCCTATGTATAAGTGTGTGTGTGTATGTGTGTGTGTGTGTGTGTATCTGCTGGAAAAACAAACAAACGTTTTGCGTAATTCGTTTCCTCTGCGCCGCTGCTGCCGCTGCCAATACCAAAAGTCTGCGCCAACGAGAGATTCGAGGATGCTTGAAGTTTGGACACCAGCGATTTGACCATTTTATTAGCCACAAACGCAGCTCAGAACATGCTGAGCCTTCGTGCTTATGTATTGGTGTGTATCTGTGTATTTGCTTGCGCCCCTCTGTGTATGTGTGTGTGTGTTTATGTTTGTTTGAGTGACATTCAGGGCATTTCCATGGCGCACAGACAAAGGCCAACAACGCGCACAAGCACCAACAATAATAACAAATGAAACCGATTTGAACGCGACGTATTTTATTTAATTAAAAAAAAAACTGGCGGAAGAAAAACAGAAACAAAATACGAGAATGCGCCCGCATTCGCAGCCGCARCGATTCGCGCTCTGGGAATGAATGAATGACGACAGCGCTGCGAACTGCGAACTGCGAGATGCTGCGGTCGCTGCTGTGGGAGTGGGCAGAGCAGAGCACAAATACAAATCACGCACAGGCACAGATACACACACATGCGAGCACACATAAAAGGCACTGGAATTTTACTATTATTGTGCAGTATATTCAATGCAAAAATGAGCAACAACAAAATGTGTGCTTAGAGAGCGGCAGCAGGCAGAGAGAGTGAGAGAGCGAGAGTTGGAGAGTGAACGCGCGCGCTGTTGTTATTTGCTAAAAATCTTGACGCAGCTGCACCACCTGCCGACAACGACAGCAGCAGCAGCGGTGGCAGCGACGCCGGCGCAGCAGCAGCTGTCGTCGGGTAAGTGACTTAACAACCATCAGACCATCACGTCATGCAAAACCTGGAGCAGGTATGTAGACTTGTTATCGATAATAATAATTATTAGGAAGGACGGAGAGGGTGAGAGTGAGGAACACAGGAAACAATCACAATTTTCAGCAGCAGCACAGCAGCTGCTGCCCAAGTCACCCCAAAGTGATCAGACACGTCATGCAACATTTTGCGCAGGTAAACATACTTGTCTTAGATAAGATAATACATACAATGTTACTTTGACTATGATAAATTCAACCAACAACAGAATGCATACATAAATATATAAATCTTTTTTAGCTTAACTATTAGTTTAAGACAACAGAATGTTTGCTAAGTGACCTAAGGAGGTAGAGAGTGAACGGAAGAGTACCAAAAGGGAGCAGGGAGTTTATAGCAGCAACAGCGACGCCGGCGCACCAGCTGTCAGTTAAGTGACGCATACACGATCAGACACGCCTATCGTGCGCCATCGTCTACATGATTAGGTTATCGATACGCTTTAAATCACAATATATGACGTTTTTTAATCAAATTCAAGTGCAACTTACATTTACAAGGACTTGTTTTTTTCCGCAGCGTTTGCATGGTTGCTAATATTAACGGGTTGTTTACATTCGCGTAACGTCTAATGGCTGCGGTTTGCTGTCTGCGCTAAAGGCAGCTCGAAACAGGGGAAGGTTATTGTATTTCCGTGTCTTCCTTTTCAGCTCTTTTTAAACCGGTCACAGCGCAATTATGTAGTAGACGGGGTGGGTCCTTCAAGTCTACAACATGCGCTGACTTTTGACATTTGACCGAGTGAACGTTGCACTCCTTATATGCACTTGTCTCTATGTTTCGTTTCTATTACTTCTACTCCTTTTTGTTATTGTCGCCGTGGATATCTTTGTTGTTGCTGTTGTGGTCGATAATCCCCGCCGGCATAACGCAGACAACAAAAATACACACGTTAAGATTATCGATTTTTCAATCGGCACATTTCTTGTGTCGTTCTTATTCTTAAAAATACTTTGAGACGCCTTTAAATATGCAGCAATATTTGTAATGTTGAATAATCAATAATGTAAACAAGTTTTACACTTGAACCACTTAGATTTTATATGTGTGGCCAATGATGCAATTCGACTTTAACTACATTTTTTGCTAGACAATTGAGACTAATTTTCCGCAAGGACTTAATAGAAAATAATTCTGTTGGTTTCAATGAACATTTTCTTTATCGTATTTAAAAAGCCACTGTTTCACTTGGATTTAAGCAACCATTCCACTATTTTAATAGCGTTTTATTTTCGAATTTTATGATTCATTTAATATCCTTCGCTCTCGGACAAAAAAAAATCTCGATAGTAAACTCCAAGGATACAAAAAGTGGGGTGCTTTTTGTGAAGAGCACCCTGTGCCAACCGGCACTTTTCTTATCGATTGACAGTATTCATTTCCAACACTGAGTGATTATCATTACAGCGCATTAACAGTCAGCACTCACTCTCTCGATAAATGTAACGCTACCATCTGAGCATAACATATTGCTAGCCGCACAGCGTTTACAGCATGTTATTTCTCATAATTGTTGTTGTTTCGGTGAAGTACAGACGTGTTTATGCGGGTGCGCAGCGTGTAAATTGGTTGTTTGGAACAGAAAGTCAACTAATTGATAAACATAAAAGTTGTGACCAGAAATTGTCTTACAAGGTATTCGGCTTTGCATCATTCTCTGTTTCATAGCTCAGCTCAGTTGTACACGCACCTGTCATTGTGCCCTGCCGAATTGGAATCGTGCGCGCGTCGCTTAGCTGCAGACGGTGTTGAATATTTAAAAGTTTACCCGCTTGCAATTATTGAAAAAGTGTTAAAAAGTGTTCGCGAGTGTGTGTGTTTGCGCGCATTCGTGTGTGTGTTTGTGTGTACGAGAGTTTGTGACAAAGCAAACCAGTTAGTTGCCATCCAGTTGTAACAGATTTTTTGTTTTCAATCTCAGTAGCTATGCTGAATTAAATGTTAATCCTGGACACATAACCACATATACTCCATAAATACATTCTTATACTTGGCTAATAGCTTTTAAGCTGTGTGCTCCTGTTTGATCGCTATGCGAAATTAATTTCGACTTTGTTCAAAGTGTTGCAAAATTCTAAAAATCGGTGTGTGTGTTGTGTGTTCCCCAATTGTCCCCCCTTTTGCAAAAGGCTTACTGACACGGCGAGAAAATGAATAAAACCTGTGCGCGCTGCCAAAAGGTGGTTTATCCCATCGAAGAGCTGAAGTGTCTGGACAAGGTGAGTCACAACTTAATAATAATTTTAGCTAAAGGCGTGTAAGAATATCGGAATTTAGTTGTTTTTAGCTATTGTTGTGTGTATTGGCATTTTTTTCTTTCAATTTCAATTTTTGCTCCTTTGTTTTATGCCGCTGCTTCGCACTTGTTGTCTGTGCGCGTTAGAGCGAGACGGCTATCTAGTCACATGGCCCGCTGGTCTCATTGATCATGCGTACCGTTTGCTCTTATGTCCATGTCCGTGCTTGTTTGTTGTTTCTGTTTTATTATCCTACGCAATTCGTGGCCTGTTGTGGGCGCAGCAGCAGCAGCCGCAGCAGCACCACAACGCAGCGCCGTTTTAATAATTACCAACAACAAATGTGTGCGAATAATAAAAAGGAAAAAAAAGCTGTTCAGCTAGTTTGCTGCGACTGCGTAGCGCTTCTTGGAATTTAGTTTAAGCAATATAACGGCACGCAAATTTCATTCCATTATGTGTCTATGTGCGTGCATGTGTGTGTGTGTGTACGATTGCGCGGGTGGTTGTTTGTGCTTGCAACAAATTTTTCAATTTTCGCCAACTCAGGAAATTGAAAATTGCTTTTAATTTGCGTCGCCGCTGTTTCCGCTACAATTCTCTCTTCACTTCCCGCCTATCTACCTACCTCTCTTCTTTGGCAATTGTCTGCGCCAATTTGCGTATATTTTGCGTATGAGCGCAGCGACGACGACGACGAGTGCGACGCCGCCGTCAACGAACCGTTGCAAAGTTGCAGCGCAGCTTTTATCTTAGCTTTCTGTGTTGGTTCTTCAAAAGAAATACTCAAAAATAAATAAGCAACAATCCGTTGACTGACCTTGAGCGCATATTTCGTTTCCAGTTTCGCATTCTCTTTCGCAYACAGACACACACACACACGCAATCACAAGCTTTGCGGTCATTGAATTGCTTTCTTCTTGTGCTTATTGGTTTATGCTTAATGCTAGTTTATTTTTATTGACCGGCTGTGCGTCTGTCTCTCTGTCTGAGCTGAGCTGAGCAGCACTAATTGTTTTGCCCTTTCGTTTCTCTTCTACCTATTTTTGCCCATCCAGTTTTAAGCGAGCTTTAGCTCAAAATAGGTTTAGTACTTAAGGAAATGAGTGAATATACATACATATGTATATATAAACTCATGTTTATATTTACAACATTTGTATGCGCTGATAAGACATTGCCTAGAGACACGATTGTTTCAATTGTCATTTCATCATTAGTCAAATTCCATTCGATAGCCTTGCTTTAATCAGCTCCAACTATCAGCAGTTGCGACGTGTGTTCCACATCGTCTGCGGCTGCTGCTGTTGCTGCTGCTCTTAAGCGTTTGTCTAATTATAGTCAAGATGTGCTACATGCTCTCTTTCTATTGCTGTCACTTTCTAACGCACACACTCTTCCAGTCTCAATGTGCGTCTAATTTTAGCCGTGAAGTAATGAAAACTATTTAAAGACAGTTATAAAATATGCATGAGGCCTAATGGAAATGTTGAAACGTGTAAATAACTCGGGAGAGATTTCGAAACTTGACGAAACTCGACAAGAAAAACAATAACAACAAAAACATGAACGAACAGCATACATACACATATTTATTTATTTGTGTATCCAGAGAAATGTTGAATGTTCCTTTTGGTTCGTTGCATTTTAGCTTGCTTACATCTCATTGTTTAACTTGTCTCATATGACGTGTTTCTATATCTCTGTTATGTGTCTCTCTTTGTGTCTGTGTTAGGGCATGCACAGCAATGATTACTGTATTCAGATTATTTGCAATTGTATTTCATAACATTTGTAAGATAATAAACAAATTGACTCATACTCGCAGCGCAGCTTGTTATTTAATAAACAATAGGATTGTTTTATTGTTTTGCCTTTTTTACTGAAAATCAAATTACGAGTCTTATGACGCGTATCTATTGAATGTGAAATGCACAATGTTAATCTCTATTATTTGCTGAGTATTTGATTTAAAAATATACGATTGTCTAGTTAATTATAGTAAGGTGTTTGTATGAACTCCAAGTAATAAATTCGTATTGAAATGGAAATGAAATGAAATTGAATAGAATGAATTGTATTCAATTTGCAAATCTCTTTAAAATCAGGTTAAAAATTTTGAATTTGGTAATTAGAAAATAGAGGAGAAATACTAAAAAAGTAATGGAAATTGAATTGAATAAAAATAGACTTGCATAAAAATAAGAAGTGCTGACGGTCTTTTCATTGAATAAAAATATAACAAATAATTGAATTAAACTAGCAAATTAACCATAACTTTATTAAAAATTAATCTATTAATTAGGATCTGTGGAAGTTAGCGAATGATTACTAGACTATGTACATATTCATATCTGTAGTGTATCTCCTTCTAGAAATCATTATTTATTTATCTTCTTTTCTACTTCTCTGCGTTCTGTTTTTGCTTAGAAAATGCAGCGACATCTGCATCCTTCTTCTCTCTTATTGACGCTCTCCGTCTCTCTCTCTCTCTCTATCTCTCTCTCTCTACCTCTCCCCCTCTCCCACATCTACATTTTCTGACTGAAAAGTTTTGCGCCATTTCGTTTGCGGTTGCCGCTCAATGCACGTGACATATCCTGATATAGAAATCGATACGCGTGACAGTCAATAAACGGGCATTTTATACCAATTATCTACACACACACACATTCTCAAACACACACTGAAAAGTTTTGCCTTGTAAATGAAATGAAGAAATGCTTTTTAAATGCCGTTAAAAGTTAAGCAGCGCTGCTCGCGTTCGCTGCCGGCGCTTTGTTAATCGATTTTTGATACCAAACTTCACTCAACTTGTCGCCGTTCGCAGTTGCAGTTGCAGTCGACGTCAACGTCGACGTTAAAGTCGTTGTCGTTGTCTCTGTCGCTGTCGCTGTCTGCAGCGCTGCTTCTGCTGCTGTTGCCAATTTCATTTATCTGACTTTTTTATTTGGCAAACACACGAAATGTGTGAGTTTTAGTTTTGCCTGCTTGTTATACTCGTTGCCCATTAAAAAATTGCAAAAAAAAAGAGGGAATTTCGCATGAAATTTGAATAATGTATGAGAATAGAGTAAACCATAAAATATGCTTATAAATAGTTGATGCAGAAGAGATCATACAGCTATGATTGTCTACATATTAGTTGACAGTATAGAATTAATTTAGAATTGATAAAAATCGATTTTTAGTAAAAGTGTCAGGAAAAACTACCATTTGAAGCCACTGTGATGCAACATAAGCAAACAATATCATTGAGTTGCATATGCCACAAGCTGAACTTCACTTACAGGGTATCTCATAGTCGAGTCCTAATTGTTAGTACTGCTGTTTTGCTTGGCTGCGGCGGCCGCCACGACAGACGATTATTTTATGCTCGCAACGAAAGTAAATGACCTCTTTGTTGTCAGCCAACCCAGGCTGGGGCAGGCAGGCCGGTAGGAAGAGCAGGCTTAACATTTTGGCCAATTCGTGCAGCGTGGCACGAGTCGACAGTTAGTGTTTGGGCCAGGCCGGCAGCCAGCAGGCGGCAGCAGCAACGAAGCGCAGCGCAGCGTCAAATCCAAAACGTCCTCCATTTGCAGCTACTCCGTTTGGCACTTAGGTAGCTCCAACTGTATCCAGTTGGGGCTCTGCCCCGCCTGTGGCACACTTTTCGGGCTGTCGCTTTGCTGAATATTTTAATTTTTGGCATTTGCGCCATGACAAATGACTACAGCGACAAACTTGGACGGAGCCGACTAGCTGCCAAAAAGGAGAAGAAGAAGATCATGATGAAAAGTATCTTTAGCTCGAAATCTTATCTGAAATTATTTTGCTGTTTGATGTTGCCATCACGTGCGACACTTGAACAACGTTTCCGCTTTCCAATTGCCAACAAGAAGTTGAAGAGCTTTGTAAAGCTAGTGATGAAAGCGGAGACACGCGTGACACGGAATAATTGTAATAGAGAATGTAGTGAGTGAATAAAAATGGAATGGAGATAAATGAGACAGAAAATGCATATTTAAAAGAGATAGAATCAAATCTAGTTTTCAATTACTATAAATATTAAGAGATATACATACATAGATCGACACACACGAGCTCCTCTCTAGAAAAACTCTGGCAACACCGAATAACAACGACAACCGCATTGACAATGACAATTGGTTTTATTTATTTTTTTCCACTCTTGACTGGAGCTCTTCAACTCTGAAAGCGAAGTTCACTTTTGCATGACAAACCATTTCTGAGTGCAGCCCGTTTGGCCCCTAACTGCACCGCTCTCCCTTCTGCACTCTCCTGCCCTCTTTCCCTACTCTCTCTTTCTCTTTCTCTCTCTCTCTCTGTTACTCCGCCTGAAGCACTCGTGAGAGAAGGGCGCTGCAATTTTATAAACAATTCAGGCATGAAAATAAAAGTGGTCAAGTAGCAGCAGCAGCAGCAGCGACATCGTCGACTTTGACTTATCGTTGCTTTGCATCTCCTTATCTTCATTTCCTTTCTCACACACACAAACACACACACACATTGTAATTTCACTTTGTGCTTTGTTATTTCGCTGTGAGAACTTTTTGTGGTATTATGCAATTTGTTGTGCCAGCTTTTACCTTATCTCTGTTTGTTGTCTCTGCTCCTTCCACTCTTCCTCTGCTCACTCACTTTCGCTGTGCAGCGCGCAAATCAAAGCCTAAAGCTCAGCTCTTGGCTTATTTGTTATGCTCCAATTTTTCTTGTAATTAGCCTCGTGGTTGGTCGGTCAGAAGTTTTGCAACCTATTTTGGCGATTGCCAATTTTGACAAAGAAAAAAAAGAAGAAGAAGCAAAACCACGGATTTCGGTTGCCAAATGAGAAAAAAAGGTAGCAGTTGACTAATTAAAGTTGGCCAGAAAAGAACTTAAGAAACTAATCAGAGACGTTTATTGACTTAAAAGAGATTTATTTGAATATAAATAAAGGGTGATTTAAATGTGTTTAATATTAGAGATTTATACAGTAA